TTGTTTTATGACCTGGTTTCCTGATTTGTAGCTGCAGGGGAAAAAATTAAAAACCCAACCCACTCAAGGCCTGGGAACCAGAGGAAGAAGGGGCTGGAGGCTGGGGACAGGGAGAAGGGTAAGTGTCCAGGAGGAGAGGAGAAGGTAGCACCCCTCGGGCCCCCCATGTGTTGTGGGTGATGAGTGAAGATTTGATACCTCAATTAGAATGCAAAAACACCAGCCTGATCAAGGCTGCTCTGTGGGGCGCATTCTAGGTCCTGAGGGCCTGGCTTGAGTGGGAGGAAGGGATGAGTCTCCAAGGGGCCCACAAGACAGGCCTCTGGGACAGGTTCGGGTCCATGGGCCAGCAGAGGGGAGGGACCCAAGCTGGCTGAGAGATGCTGGCTTGGGGCAGAGCGGGGACTACCCTGTGGCATAAAGAACCCAGAGGAGAAGACAGCGCCTCCCCAAAGCACAGCCTTTCTAGAACACCCTCGTGGGCAACACTAGGGTATGTTCCCTCCTCATTCACGGGCCCCCACGGGGTGTCCAGCATGTCCTCTGCACGCCTGGGGGCCAGAACGTGGGGAGGCCAGCGGTGGGGTGAACAGTAGGGGCCAGGCTCCTTAGTTGGGGCTAGGGACCCCAGTGAGGCTGGGGCTCAGGGCTCTCTGGAGGGTGTCTGAGTGGGGAGCAGAGGCTTCTGGACTTTCTAGGCATTCGGGAAGCCCCCTCTCGAAGCCCACCAATGCTGTCTCCTCTAGGGACCGGGGACCGGGCTGTGGTGGCAGCTGAGGTCTACTGAGCCACCTGAATGGGACCCTCCCTGCAGGGCCGAACCCACCAGGAGGACACCACGCCTGCATGGTGGACACACTGCACGTGTCCTGTGCTCAGGTCCCCTGATGCTAAGTTGTGTCCCCACCCCCCTGCCCACAGTGCCCGTGCCTGGGACGCAGCGTCCATGCTTGGAGACCCTGGCCGCGTTTAGGGCTGAGGGTAGACTGTGAGGTGTGGGCCAGCGAGGAGGGTTCGGCATAGCTGCTGGTGCTCAAGGGCCCCCCTGGGCAGGCTGCCCGGAGCACAGCCCACCTATTAGCGCTTTGTGCTTATCAGTGTCTTGTGGACAATTGTTATATTTTTTTGATCACTTTATTCACCACTGGACAGAAAGTATCACCGCCTTTCCTAAGGACAAGAAAAGGGGGGCGGCTGCTGGGGTGCAGACAGGTAAGAGGGCTGGGGTGCAGCAGCCCAGTGCACCCCCTGGGGGGCACAGCCCATCTTGCCTCCCCCAGGCCAGGTTGATGCCATTGGACACAATCAGGGTCTCAGGCCCAGCAAGACCAAGGGGCCAGCCCAGAGGCTGGTATGGGCTGCATGGACCCACAGGGCACTCCCAGCCTGCTGCACTCCTCTCTCCACCCCAGGGCCCCGCGGGCCCTGCCCTTGCAGAGGCTGCACTACGCAGATGAGACAGGCCAGTGCGGCGCTGGCTTTGAGAGGAAACAAAGGATAAGAGAGCCTGGCCTTGGCCTTGCACCCTAGCCTTGTCCTCCCCACCCCATGTGCCTGGAGGGACCGTGGCTTACCTCCCTGGAGGAGTGCAGCACAGAGGTGCTGACTTTGTGACCCCAGGCAAGCCTTTACCTCCGAGTCTCAGGGCCTTTGCCCTGGCTGTGCCCTCTGCTAGAAAGCACAGCTCCCTTCCCTGCTCTGGGTCTTTGTTCCTCTGTCACCTTTCCAAGTAGCCTTCCCTGACCACTGTCTACAACCCCCCACCTCTCCAGGCCTCCTTTCAAGGCTGCTGAGTGCCACCTTCTGGCAAGGCCCGCTGCAGGCCTGCCTGCCTCCTCCTGGAGCCCCCTTCCTGCTATACTCCAGTCCCACAGCTTCTCCGGAACAGGGACGCTCCAGGTGCTCCTCCTGCGCTCATTCCTTCACCCACTAGGCGCCCACACCCCCAGCCAAAGCTCGACTGTCACCTGTGCGCCCCTTGCCCCATTTCTTCTCCGAAGCACTTACCTTCTTGTAATAAACCTTCAATTGCTTTGTTATTGGTCTCCCCTGTTTAGAAGGAAAGTTCCATGAGAGCAGGGAGTTCTCATTCTAAAGAGGAGAGACCAATTGGCCAGAACAGTATTTATTGAGTGAACAATGTGCACAATGTCACACTAACCCTGTGAAAATATCCAGAACAAGCTGGGGGTGGGGGGTGGCACAGAGCACATCTGGGGGGGGTTGGCCACAGCACCACTTCACTCATTTGACAACGGACATCTCCCCGAGGCCGGCAGGCGATGCGCAGGGCGCAGCGGGCGGGTTGGGGTGGGGGCAGCAGCCCCACACGGCTGGAATGGGAGCCCAGGCTGCCAGAGTTCCTGAGTTTTCTTCCTTTAAAAAGCCAGAAATCAGGATTTTATGAAAAGGAGTATCTTTCATTAAAGAAAAAAATTAACCAAGCAAAAAATTGCTTTTTTTTTTTTTAACACTCCAGAGTTCAAGACAACCTGCCTGTGGGCTGTACTAGATCACAAGCTCCTGGTGTCGAACACTGATGTCACTGACGCAGACGGGACTTTGCATGGGTGGTAGCAGGGCTTTGCTGGGTGGGGGTTTGGGCGTCGAGTGGGTGCTCACAGCACAGGTAGGCATCCAACGTGAAGGAATGAGAGCAGGAGCACCCAGAACGTTTCCTGGCCCAGGAGAAGCTTTGGGACCAGGACAAACCAGTTAAGCCCCGGTGAAGCCCATTTCTGCTCAGCTTTGGTGGGGGGCACGCCGGGTGCTGAGGACAGAGGGAAGCAGCACAGGCCCTGCTGTCCCAAGGCAGACACAGGGACGACTGCCAGGGTTGCTGGGATGACGTGACCCCAAGGAGGCCCTGGGGGTGGGGAGAGGAGGTGATCAGGGCAGGCTGGAAGGAGGGCTTAACCATGTGAGGAGGGGCAGGGGACGCAGGATGGAGGCAGCAGCCAGTGAGGCTGGGAGGCAGGAGAGCAGGAGGGTGAGGGCCTGGGGGCGCAGGGAGGAGGCAGGCAGGCCTGCAGCCCAGCCTTGCTGTCGGGGGACACCCAGCAGGCTTGGACAGGAGGTACGGGGAGGTGGGGGGCTGCAGAGGCTGGCAGGCTGCAGGCCTGAGGCCCACAGAGGTGGTGACTTCTGGAGCATTCCACACCAGACACCAAGTGAGGCCCCCCGGTGGGGGGACCCTGCCAGGCTCCTTGGTGGCACTCATCACAGAGGTAATTACACGATTAATGGTACAATGGACAGTTTCACATGAGTCTCTCACTAGAAGGTAGCCTGATGAGGGCAGGGGCTTCCTCTGCTTGGCCTAAGCGCCAAGCCCAGAAACTGGCTCCGGAGTTGGTCCATCAAATACTGCGCGGCTGGATGAACATGAGAGGGATTGGGGGTGTCGGGCTCTGTGTTGGGTGCAATATCTAACCCTCGCCACAGCGCGGGGGGGATATGCCCAGAGAGATTTGAGGGTGAGGGGCTTGGAGGCCAGGACGCATGCAAACACCCGCCAGGAAGGAAAGGTGCAATGTGAGCGCCCTCCTGCACAGCCCGGTCCTGCCTGTGCGGGTCACTTGTGGAGCCCATTTCTGCTCAGCTACCGTGGGGGAGGGGGAGCTGGGTGCTGAGGACAGAGGAAAGCCACACAACCCCTGCTGTCCCAAGGCAGACAGACACACAGCTGACTGCCCCAGTGTTGCTGAGATGAAGTGACACCCAGGGGCCCATGCAGGGTGGGGAGAGGAGGTGATCAGGACAGGCTGGAAGGAGGGCTTAACCATGTGAGAGGGCAGGGGACGCCAGATGGGATAGGTGACATGGGGAGGCAGCAAAGAGCAAGTGGAGGCAACTGCAGCTTCCTCCCAACTCTGCCCAAATCTCTGGGCCTTCTTCCACCTTAGGTGCCCTGGCTGCTACAGCCAGTGGCCAGTGTCCTCTGTCCTCATGGCACCAATCCCTGGCAGTCTTGCAAAGTCACTCCCACTGTCAGCCGTCTGCATCATGCTCCCTGGCTGGCCACTCTCCTGTGTGCCTTTGGGGCCACTGGTTTGAGGCACAAACCAGAGAGGAGTCTCTGGCCTGTTTCCACATGTCCGCATCCCTCTCCTGGCCATAAAGACCAGCTGCAGAGAGCAGCGAGCCACTAGAAGCCACTTTCTGCAGAGCACATTCTAGGTCAAAGCTCCCCCTCATTCTGTAGTGGGATTAAAGGAAGCCCAGAGAGGGCCAGTGACTTGTCCAGAGAACAGCAGAGCCCTGCACAGCTCTGTGCCTGAGTGCATGAAACACGGGGGGGCGCGGGGGGGGGGGACGCCCAGCTCCTGGAGGAGTCAGGGAATGTGCGGCCTTCCGGAGCCTTGGCCTCCCTGCCTCGAACACCCCCTTGTCGCAGCCGTCCCGACAGCCCCTCCCAGCCCGCTTCCACCTGGGGGAGCGGGGGAATTGGCGCCCCTCCCTCCCCCAGCCCCCAGGGAGGAAGCCGCCTGTCAGGCCGCCACGGCGTGTCAAATTCTCTCGCTGCCTAATTGTGAGACGGCGGCGTTTAAAGAAACGCTTTTCTGGCCGCCTGCCACACCACAAACTGCTTGGTATAATTTTATTATTAAGGAGAGAGAAAAAGAGGGAGGGAGTTGGAAGACAGAGATAGAGAGAGAAAGGGGAGAGAGAAAGGGGAGAGAGGAGGAAACTGCTTGGTCCAAGTCAGCTGGTGGAGTATTCTGCTCAGTGTGAACGCGGCCGGCTTTGCAGTTGGCAAGCTGACTTCCTTAATTGCGCATTCAGTCTCTACTTAGGGTAATTGAAACGAAGCGGGCCGGGCTCCGGCAATTAGGGTCTGCGACTAGGCCATTAACCCTTTCCGCAGCCGCCCTCGCCCCCATCGCCGCCACGGCGCCCTTTCCAGGGCGAGGAGGGCTTCCGGGCGCCCCGGCAAGGCCCACCCCGCGCCGCGCACTGCGGCAGGGCTCCGGGCGCGCGCCCCAGCGCCGGCAGGGTTAACGCGGCGCCGCGAGGCCGGGAGCCCGGCAGGGCCGAGCCGGGGATGGGGGGCCGCGCGGGCTGTGTGGGGGTTGTTTGCAGCCTCTCCGCCCCTCTGCAACAGATGTTCCAGCCGTGTAAGACAAAGGCACAGCGCCTGCTGCTGCCGGGAGAAAATCCGCAGGACTCCCTCAGGGGCAGGTAAAATTTCACCTTCTATTTGTGTTCCCCCCGCACCCCGCCCGCCCCCGCCTTGTTTCCCGGCCTCTGCACCAATCCAGAAAGCGCCACCAAAGACGCCGCGCCGCCTCCTCCGCAGCCAAACCCGCTGACCCCAGCAAGGTCACGGCGACCTCCGGCTCCGCCGGCAGCGCGCCCGCCCGTCATCCGCCGGCGAAGGGCGCCCCCCCGCACCGGGTCCCCTCCTGGGCCGCCCCTCGTCCGCGATCCACGGTCATTGGAGGTGCAGGAGAGCGAAGGGGGCGCTGCACTCGCCACGAGGCGGAGGCGGCCCTGGACGCTCCCCGCCCCCTTCCGCCTGCGCGGGGACCCCGGGGGGCTGCGCCCCCCCAGCCCCCATCATTCATCTCCCTGATTCCCTCTGTAGCCGCCCTCGGAAGTCAGCCGAGTGAAGCAGCTGTTCCTTGCACACTCCACTTGACCAAAGATGATGATAAATGAGGCCGGGGCTGCGTCGGGGACGCGGCGGCGGCTGCGAGGGGCGCGCACGGCGGGGCGCACAGCCCGCAGCCCCCTCCCGCCCCTCGGGAAGGGCGAGGATGCGAAGGACAGGGGCCGAGAGACAAAATCAGAGGCCCGCGCTGCCCTCCCGGTGCCCTGCTCGGCCCCGGCACCCGGAGATGTGGAGGAACCCGGCGGAGAGGTGCGTCCAGATCGCCCGGCCCAAGACCAAGTCCTCTTCTTTGCGACCGCCGCAGCCCCGCCCCTGCCCTAATCCCCCACTCCCCACCCCCCACCCCTTCCCCTAAAGCCTCGGTCCCCACTGCGCCCTCGCCCCCCCACGTGCCTCAAACCTATTAACGCTCGTAAATAATGAATAATGGAGCGCTTCCCTCCAGCCGCGCAAGGCTGCGGGCGGGGGCCGCTGCCAGATGCGCCCGGTCCTGGGGAGGGGACGCCCACCGGCCGGGTGCAGAGGGGCCCGGCGCGCGGCCCCGCACACGTGCAGCCGCGGCGCGCAGGCGGGCACCCCGCCCGGCGGAGGAGGGGGAATCCCGCTCTGCCCTCCCCAACGCCACCTCCCCTGGAGTCCTCTGGCACCGAACGAGGCGAGAGAGCGCGCGCGAGCTTCCCAGCCGGAGAGGGTTATTTTTAACCTGCCCCCCTTTCTATATCTGCCTCTCGGGTTTGCGCGCCCGCCCGCCCGCTCCAGCAGCCGAGGACGCGGGCTCCTCACCTCGCTCGGCGGCTCCGGACTCTGAGCGCCTCCCCCGGCCCGCGGCCCCCGCCCCTGCGCAGGCATCGCGCGGCTAAATCTCAGCCTGGAAAGGACCGATTAAGAGCCGCGTGCCTTTCTGCGAAATATTGGAACGGGTGGGATGGGGGCGGGGAGCCTGGCGCTGTCGTCCCCTCGCTTCCCTTTCTCCCTCCCACCCGCGCGCAGAGTGGCTGCGAGAGGCGGCTTCTGTTCTCCCCCCTGCAAAAAGGGGGTGGTCGGCCCGGGACCCCGGCACCCTTTTGGTTTTCGGCCTTCTCTCGACGCCCACCCTTCAGTCACCTACGAAGCTGGAGCTTCTAACACGCGGACCCTCTGGCGGCGGCGCCAAGTGGGGCACTGACCCCCATCTCCAGTCCCCTCCCTAAGCCACTCCAAAGAAACACTATTTAAACAGCAGCGGACTGGCCATACCAACAACTTCAGGGCAGACGCCACCGTGCCAGTGCCCAGTGCTGGGGCTGGGGAAGTGCCAGGGCGCGCAGCAGGGACTCTTGAAGGCAGTTTACTGTCTCCTCTCAAGATTGGACTCACCTGGGCATTCCCCTCCCAGCCCCTTCCCTAGGGGCCCAGCATTCCAGTCCCTCTTCCCCTCCTGCGAGGCCACAGGAAGTTCATGTCCACTCCCACTACCCTCCTCTCCAAAGGCCACCCACCCAAACCCCTGCCTGCCCTTCCTTTCAAAGAGGGAGGCCGTGGAGGCGCTGGCTGAGCCCAGAAGCCCCCCTGGGGCTGACTGGATCCCTCCATCACTTGACATTTTCCAGACTGCTCTGTGCCCAATCCTGGAGACTCAGGCATAGGGCCCCTGAGCACCTCCCTCCTGAAGGAGGTGGGGCAACAGGCCACCACAAACACGGAGAAGGGAGGCCTGGAGGCCGGGAGGAGGTGGACTGAGAAGAAAGGAGAAGGGCATTCCAGCCGCCAGGAGCTGCCTGGCTCCCAGGCAGGAACACAGCCTGCTGGGGAACCTGAGATGGATTTCTCTCTGGGGCTTAGCTGGGCTGGAGGAAACGGGCCCTGGAGGGTGGGCCCCCACCCAAAGGGAGCAGCCTCTGGTGGGGGGCGGTGGACTACCTCAGAGAGGTAAGCCAGGCAAGCTGGGGGCCAGAGTGCCTGGGCAGGGAGGGGTGAAGGTGCTCGAGGAACACAGATGCTGGGCTGGCTGGGGACAGTGGTGGGCCAACGCTGGAGCTGGGAGGTCCTGCAGGCAGGCAAGGTGGGGGGCGGGGACGGGCCTCCTGAGCAGAAGCACAGCCTGTCATAGGGGGAGGGGTCTTCTGGGGCTCCCCTCCGCCAGACACTGTGCTCACAGCCTCCTTCAGATCTGGAAAGTTCTCAGTGACCCTCAGACTGCAGGAGCCGGTATAACAGCAGCACCATCAAAGGCTGATGCTGTCTGGCCCCCTCCTGTGTCCAAGGTGTCTTGATAGATTTTACTTCTAACCCTCAAACTGCCCTTCTAGGAGGTGACGTCACCTCTCATTTCACAGACATGGAATCTGGGCTCCAGAGAAGGGAAGGGGCCATTCCAGACTCCACCCTTTGGGGGCCTCCCTGGTTCCCTCCCCTACAAGCCTCGGCCTTGGGCCCATGGGTAGGGCCTCAAGCTGGACATCAGGGTGGTGCCCAAGGGGCTGCAGTGAGCAACCCAGGGGGTAGGACTTCCATGGGGTCCTAGTTTCCTCCTTTGGAATTTCAGAAAGCTGTTTTCTTGGGAGAAAGAAGGGGGGCAGAGTTTGTGGGGGGCAGGAGAGAAGTCACACAGCCTATCATCACTGATCCCCCCACTTGGCCAGGTCCCCTATTAAGGGTTCCCAAGTGGGGGTTTGGCTCTTGGGGCTGCAGAATTGTTATAGTGAGACATAAGTCCACATGGGTCTCCTTTCTTCATCTGCAGACCAAAAATAAATCTCGCGTAGCCACGTACCACTACTCTTCCAATGTGTGTAGCTGCTGCTGTGATGAATAAATTACAAATCCATTTAGGGCCTTGTGGCTTGGGCGGTTATATACCCCTCCCCGCAACAACACACTAGCACTTAGCTCCTAGTTTGATATTCAGGGGTCTCTGTCTCAAGACAAGGAACCTCTGGGCCCACAGGGTCCCGGCCTCCCCGTGGTCTAGCTGTGCCCACTGCCAGGAAGGGAGCTTCCATTTCCGGCGTGCCTTGGAGATCGGCCCGCTGCCCCCAGCTCTCCCTGGGTTGGGGCAGATCCTGGCCAGCCCCCCAGACACGAAGCGAGGTGCTTGGTGACCAGAAGCACCGGCTGCTGCTTGGGAGGCAGGCCCGGAGGCCGCCCGGGGAGGCTTTTCTCAGGACGGAAAATATGCGCCTTTGGTTTTCAGCTGCTGCCTGTCTGTGTCTGAGGGGACAACTGGCTGATGTCCCCTCTCCCAAAGAGCCACAAAAAGAGGAGGTGCATAAGAGTGAAACGGGGCGCGGGCAACTGTCTGAGTCCGTCTGGTTGTTCTGAACGACACTCGTTTCCCCCCAGGGTGAACAGAATACTTTCTGCCTGTGCTCCGTGCTGGGTCCCTCTTCCCAGGCCCAGCCTGGCCCCTCCAGCCTCACCTCCAGCTGCACCAGACCCCTCCAGAACTCCCTCCCTCTTGGCCTGCAGTCACTCAGCATCTGGGGGAGAGAGCCTCTTCCAGCTGTACATAGCTAACTTGGCCCGGCCCCAGCACTGCCTTGTTCTGGAAAGTTGTAGGAGAATCCCTCTTGGCTGGCTCACTGGCATGGAGAATTGCAGGCCTCTTCTCCGGAAAGGGAGGCCCTACAGAGAGGTCAGATTCACAACAGCCAGGCCAACCAGTTGTGAGGGCTCACAGCCCTCTGGGGCTCTGGCTTCGGGGTGAGGGGAGCCATTATCTGCCCCCATGCCCACCCCGATTGTAAATGGCTAGACCTTGATGCCAGGAGCTCTGGGTTTGAATCCCAGCTCCTGCATACACATCTGCTGGGTAACCTTGGGCAGTTTACTTAACCTCTCTGTGCTTCATGAAATTAAACAGCAAAACTTGCAGGGTTATGGGAGACTAAATGAGATAATGTGCTTGGCAGCTGGTGGAGGCCCAACAAAGGGCAGTGCCTTCCAGGGCCACCTGTTCGTGGGGCCAGGTCCAAGCCTTGTACTTTCTCTGGCTCCCAGGGAGGAGCCTGTGTCTGAGCCAGAGCTGGGGAGGGCATTCTGGGACTGAGGGTTGACGTCTGCCCAGAGCAGCGGCCCGTACCCCGAGGCAGGCAGGCCATCTTCCCAGCTGGCGTCTCCGCGTCCGTAAATGCTAACGTGCACACCTCGGTGAGACGAGGATTCGCTGCAGCGGGCCAGGACAGGGCCTGCGGCTCTGCAGCCCTAACAAGCCTTCGGGGGAGGCCAGTGTGGCTGGTCTGTGGACCACAACTGGCGTGGCGGCATCTCGGTCCAGGAGGACTCTGGATCTGCTGAATCTGGGCTTGGGGAGGGGATGTGGGTTCTGTTCTGTCCAAGGAGGGCCTCCTAGCACCTCAGCACCAGGCTCTGGCTCTGTGTTCCCTAAGTCTTTGTCTCAGACCTGGGTCCCCATAGCGGCCTGGGCAAGGCTCAGGGCTTGCATTTGGCATGTACCTCTCTGGAGCAACACATTGATGAAAAGCAGTTTCATGCTGCTAAGCTTCCAATCACTTCTCGTGCCCTGGGCCTTTGTGGACCTCAGTTTCCCCACTGGCACAGTGGGAAGCTGGGATAAGCTGACTCTACCCTTTCCCCTGGATGGTTCCCCACACCTTTCTTCCCTTCCCAAATCATGAGACCTGAGCATCGACGCTAGGGGCTGGGCTCCCATCCCAGACTCACCCAACCAGTGATGACAGCCAGTTCCCACTTGTGCCTTTCTGGGCCAGGCACTGTCCTAGGCATTTTGCATCTACAGACTCTGCGTCGTCACAACTCCATGAGGTGGTACCATTATCATCCTCCCTGTCTTATGAGGAAAATGAGGCCCAGAGAGGTGAAGCCTGTTGCCTGAGGTCATGCAGTTGGTGAGTGGTACAGGGCTAGACTTGGGCCCCCAGACATGCCCGGGCCCTTGAGCACTGCTCAAGGTAAATAGCCCATTTGGTTTTCTTGGCACAGCACGTGGACACCCATCATGCTGCATCTGCCTGGTTGGTGAGGATGTGGGGAAGAGGTGCCCAGTCTAGAAGGGGATGGAAGGGGCAGACTGGTACAACCTCTTTGGAGAGCTTTTTGCCAGTATAGACCCAAATAAAAACTACGTGTGCACCCTGACCTGGGCCCAAAGTCATCTGCACAAAGCTATTAACTGTAGTGTCTTGGAGATCCCCTAACTGTCCATCCAAGGGATGAGGGCAACACGTCTGGGAAGTTCCATGCAGTGGAGTATTAAAGAGAGGGAGGTATTAATTCATTAAAAGCTTCAAGTATTAATTGGGAACAGTCTTCAAGTTGGGTGAAAAACCACAGTGTAGAAAGTATGTGCAGATGCCCCAATTATATAAAAAAGGGGGTTGTAGTTGATTTTTTATATGCAAGGTGGTTTAAGAAAGAGCATGGTTTGGAGCTCAAATCATTGCTACTTTCCTGCCATCTGGCTCTAGGCTAGTGGATTGAGCTCAGTGTCCTCTTCAGCTGGACAGAACGAGGGCCAGCTGCCAGGAGGAGTCAGCTCCCCAGCATCTTGCAATGGGTAAGAGGGGGATCATCCCCCCATTTTGCAGATGAGTTAACTGAGACCCCAAGGGGGAGGGGCAACCAAACCTGTTTCCCTGTACATGTTCACTGGGTACACAGCCTTGGGGGACACAGCAGCCAGGCCTGGCTGAAGCCCTATGCTGCGTGGGTGCCTGGTGCTGCCAGGGCCAGGTAGAGCAGGCCCTCGAACAACATGCGTTTGAACTTCACGGATTACATATTTTTATATGCAGATTGTTGTCAATAACAGTTACGCGGAGTGTGCCTACCGCTCCTGCCTCTGCCGCCCCGAGACCGCAAGGCCGGCCCCTCCCTCCCGGCCTCCCTCCCACTCAGCCTCCTCGGCATGAAGACTTTCGTGATGACCCACTTCCACTTCATGCTGAATAAATATATTTTCTCTTCCTTATGATTTTCTTAACATTTTCTTTCTTGTAGCTTACTTTATTATATGAATACAGTATATAATACATGTACAAAATATGTGTTAATCAAATAATCAACTGTTTATGGTATTGGCAAGGCTTCCAGTCAACAGTAGGCTATTAGGAGTTAAGTTTTGGGGGAGTCAAAGTTATACACGAATTTTCCTTTTTGACTTTGGGGGGTTGGCGCCCCTAACTCTCTCTTAGTTCAAGGGTCACCTATACTCAAGAGGACTCCTGGTTTTCCGTGTTACCATACTTTCTATTCTAGTTCTACCAACAACATGCTTTCCTTTCATCATCTAAAGAAAGCAACACATGATATAAAACTGCGGGAGACACCCCGGGTTTCTGCGGGCCTGAAGCCGCGGTGCGGTGAAGCCTGCCTGGTAGGAGGCCTGTCTGGGTCCTGTCCCACTCGGCCGCTGCCTAGCTGCGGGCCTTCGGCAGGTGCCTGGGCTCCCTCTGTCTCAGTTTCCTCTGCAAAACAGGAGCCAGAGTTCGCACCTCAGAGCGGGGTATGAAGATTAAATCAGGTAATGTGTATACGATCGTTAGAGCAACCCTGGGCAGAGGAGGGCGCAATAAGTTAGCTGTTATTTTTAAAAGGTAAATGTTTGTATAATTTTTTATACTAGAGAAAGTTCAGGAAAATCCCTGACTGGTGCTTGCTGGCTGTGGAGGAGGGGCAGGAAGGCAGGAGATCCTTGAGTGACAGAAACCTGGCTCCAGCCTCCTGGCCCCAGGAGCAGCTGGTCACTGCCCGGGCGGGCGGACACGCTGTCCTGGCACAGAGGCCCGGTGGGCAGTGGCCAGAGCAGGGTCCCGCTGTCTGTGCTCCCTGGCCGGCGCCTTGGGTGGGACAGACTTGGCTGACTGGCTGGGGCCCCTGCAGCCCCCGGCCCGTGGAAGGAAGATTTAAAAGGCCCCTGTGTTCCATCCTGGTCCAGAGCTGGCTTTTTCCAGACCAGAGCCTCACAAGTCTTTGGAAAGAACACCAAGTACCCAACACCCTGCTGCCGCCGAATGCTGTGTGACCTCAGGTGAGTCACCCCACGTCTCTGGGCTTCTGCTTTCTCACCCATAAAATAGGGATAATGTTAACTATCTGCATCATAGGGTTGAGCAAAGAACTAGTGAAAAAATGGATGTAGAAATGCTCTGTCATCATCCTCCACGGCTAACCCTGTGCACACTGGGCCCTGTTCTAAGAAGCAGTCACACATTTTAGCCCATCTTACGGATGAGGCAAAAGAGGCTCAGAGAGGTTCGGGCACCTGTCCAAAGTCACACAGCTTGCCAGTGACAGAAGCACTGCACTGTGTAAACAAGTATTTATCTAAATAATATAGTTATATAAATAATATGTAAATTATAAAGTATATAATATAAATTGTAATTATTAATTACATGCCTACTGTAATTAATAATTTGTGGCTGTGAGCTGGGTCCTAAGGTTTGGAAGCTTCACGCTCAGTTTCCAGAGGTAGCTCTGGCTAGACTGGGGCCGAGCTGCTCTTTCAGGTGCAAGGATTTTCAGTCCCATATTTCCTGGGTACCCTTTTCCTGGTCACATTGTTTGGATTCCCAGGGAAACTGTGAGCAGCACACGTGCACCCCTGTTTTACAGAGAGCACCAGTAAGGCCCGGGGGGCAAAGGGAATTTCCTGGCGAGCACAGCAACATTTGGATTTGAACTCGGCCTGTCTGGCTCCAAGTCTGCATCCCAGGATAAGGGTCTTGGGTGCAAACAAGAATGGCACAAGGAGGGGCGGGGAAAAGAAATTTAAAAAAAAGAAAAAAAAATGAAGAAAGTATCAATATTCCCCTTGGAGAAGGGATCCTTTTAGGACTGCAGGGACTCGGGGTGCACTTGTTCCACCTCAGGCAGGCACTGTCTGTGGAGCACCTGCCCCGCTGCCTGCTGGGGCCTCTGTCTTCCCTGGAGCCCCCCGCGAGGCCCGGAGCTGAGCAGAGTGCCGGGCAGAGGAGAGGCTGAGGCTGCCCGGGCAGAGACTTGCCCCAGGCCCAGAAGCCACTTCCTGGCGTCTCTGGGCTCCCCGCAGGCTGCATAGCCCCTCCGCCCACCCGGCAACCTATCCTCCATCCATGTGTCCGTCCACACACGTGCACCCAGCCACCTGAGCTGCAGTTACTAAGTGCCTACTGTATGCCTCACAAGTGCTAGGACTGAGGACAGAAACAGTGTGGGTGATGCATTGCGGAGGGCCCTAAATCACACCTGGGTGGGAACAGGAGACCAGAGGGGTGTCTCAGAGGAAGTGACATTCTGCCTGAGACAGGAGGGCCGTGAGGAGTTACGGAGGGGACGAGGAAAAGCGTGGACAGTGAAAGCGTGGCGTGGCAGGCAAGCTGCACGTGAGGGAAGAGATGGGAAAGGGGCCGGGCCACGATCAGGGAGCCAGACCAGAGTGGTGGCACAGGGCTGGAAAGGAGGGGTCAGATTCTGGAAGTGCCAGGAACAGAACTGTGGCAGGACTCGGCAGCCAGTTCTGGACACTGGTGGGGGGTCCTCCGAGGCCCGTGCTCCCACCACCGGCAGCCTCTCCCGCCCTGCTGGGCCGGCGCAGCTGCCTCACCCAAGCCTCCCAGGTTTCACCAGCCCCGGTCTGGCATATACCCCCTGGTGTGCCGGAGCCCCACGGGGTCAATGCCCTTAGGTGACAGAGTGCATGCCTGAGGCCCCGAGAGGGCAAGGGGGCACACGGCACGGTGACTCAGAGCCTAGGCGCCACCCCCACCTCCAGCTCACGCCTGCACCAGCCTCTTCCTCCCCCAGCTCACTGCAGGGGCTGCAGCAGGGACAGAGAGTGTGACATCTGAAGCCTGCGTGGTGGTGGCCTCCCTCTGGCAGTGACCTCCGTGGCATGGCTGTCTGGGTGTCAGTGGGAGTGCCCGCTCCCAGCACGGCGATGAAGGCGGGTGCTGGGGACTTGGAAGGGATCAAGATTCCCATGGGAAAGGACGGCTCCGTGTGCCAGCCCCCATAGGCCAGCTCTGATGGCAGATAAACCCCAGCCGGCTTCTTGGACACCTGCCCCTTGCTGGGAGACAAAGGCGGCGAGCGGTGGTGGCCGAGGACGTGTGCAGACACGTGCAGGGAAGCCCCAGGCCGCCCGGCGTCTCTCCACACGGCTGTCTGTACTCCTGTTGCCTCCTTTTTAGGTAAATGCCCCCTCGAGGACTGGATGGGCCCCAGGCCACACGCTCCCCGCCCGTCTCCAGAGGTCCTCGGCCGCTTCCCCTCCCCACTCAGAGCACTGCTGAAGGACTCTGTCTCCCAAACAAGCTGCATTTAGAGATCACCAACTTGTTCTCTCTCGTGGGGCTCAAAACAACAGCTAACGGGGCCTCTGATGGACATGCACAGGCCATGGGTTCGTGGGCCACATGTCTGGTGAATGAATGAGTGAATGAATGAATGAATGGTGGATGGGTGGACGGATGAATCGATGAATAGGATTCCAGCCCTAAGCAAAGCCAATGCTATTTTTGTTGGCCTGAGCAAAACAAGATTTCCCCAAGGCTTTTAAGAACATGGCAGGTAGTTCCCAGGGTCCCCTCTGCGACCCCCCTCATGATGCCTGGGCAGAGAAAATCAGGCCAAACAGGGTGGGCCTGCTGGACCCAGGGCTCAAATCTTCCCATGCCACGCCATAACGGGGCCTCCAAAGCACCCCCAGAAGTCCCCTTTCCTGAGCCCTGCTCTCCCTAGGCCTCCCAGAGACCCCCAGGAATTCCCCTGACCTGTGAGTGTCCCCAGGCCCTGGGTCCTTGGGAGCCTCCTTGTGGGGGGCCAGAAGGGCATGTGACGAGGGAGGGGCGTCAGCTGCTTGGAGGCTGCCCAGCAGCTTTGCAGCGGCAAGAGCAGAGCGTTTGTCATCTGCTGAGGACAGTAGGGATAGTTTAAGGTGAAATTTAAGCCCATTAGTGCTTGGCTAATGACATCAGAAGCAACGGGGAAAGTGAAGATGGCAGGGTGTGTGAGCACCCATAAATTGTCAGGGCTGGCGCCGCCTGCGTCCTTGGACCTGGCTCCCTGGCCCCTCTGCCAGCCTGGAAGTTCTGATTCAGTGCCCCCGTGGCCCCTCCATTGCAGGCAGGCTCTGGCCCTGCCCTGCCCTGCCCTGGCCAGCCTTGCAGGCTGGGCCCTCAGGGCCAGTGTGTGGCTGGGGCCCGGCTGGGGCGTGAGAAAGGAATTGGCTGGGGAGCCCAAGCGTGGAGGAGGCAGTGTCTTCTTAATCTCCCTCCTTTTATAACTTCTGTCTTTTTTATGCACACGCAAGGATCCCAGCTCAGCCGCCAGCATCTCTTCCCCGGGCTGAGCCGTCTCCCCGCAGCTAATGCCTGACAGCTCTGTTTATGTCTCCCCATAATTCTCTGGTTTTATGTTTTTTTTTCGGGGCCATTAAGCTCCCAGCCACAGGCTCCTTCCCTGCCCTCGCCTGCCTTTGTCCTTGAGGCCTGGCTGCCCCAGGGCCCTTTGGGAGGCAGGCTGTCCCCACTCCCCAGCAGGTGGACAAGGACTGTGCACCCTGGGTCTTGACCAGAGGCCTCACTCGGGATGGCCCTGCGCATGGGTGCTTCTGGTGCCCGGCACCCGCCACACCGACTCCCTCATCCTCCCTGCCCCTCCCGCCACAGGTGCTGTCCTCCCTGGCCACAGGGCAGGCCACACCCCAGGGTCTCAGAGGGCCTAGCAAAGCCCTCTGACCTGGCCTGCCCCTCCAGTGTCACCGTTCTGGGTGACCACGTCGCCTGCAGAGCCCCCGGCCTCCTCCTGAGTGCAGAGCCATCATCTCGCCTCCACCCGAGCCCTCTCTGCAGCTGCAAGCCCGGACCCCGTACATCCGTGCCGTCCTGAGGCACCCTTGCCCTACAGACCTTACCCTCTACCCGGGCCCCTCTCCGAGGAAGCCCCAAGTCCTGGGGGCCCCCACCCACGGTCTCCTCTTCAGACCCT